GAAGAATAACTCCATAGTTTCATTCAAATAGCTTAAATTTGTTCCAAAACAAATCTCGCACATCTGTGCATATGATTCCCAACTCGTTCTAACATCCCGGAACGAAGTGACTTCTGCCGGCCGAGTATCAGAAATGTGTTGTGTTACAAAAGTTGCAAGTCATTGTTTATTAGTGTTCAAAGTTAGTAACTGCTCATAGATACTTACTGGTCAAAGATAATTACTGCCCATAGATACTTACTGTTCAGAGTTACGTACTGCTCATAGTTACTTAAGTTCATAGAAACTAACTGATCATAGTTAATTAATGGTCATAGTTAATTACTGGTCATAGTTCTATAAATCGTCCGATTGTTCCTATGTTAGCTATATATATATGTGTATATATTTATAGTCCACCGATTTGCCATGCTCCGACTTATACTAGTAAATTTATTGAAATAACTCCATAGTTCATTCAAATAGCTTAAATTTGTTCCAAAACAAATCTCGCACTCTGTGCATATGATTCCCAACTCGTTCTAACACCCCGGAACGAAGTGACTTCTGCCGGCCGAGTATCAGAAATGTGTTGTTACAAAAGTTGCAAGTCATTGTTTATTAGTGTTCAAAGTTAGTAACTGCTCATAATACTTCTGGTAAAGATAATTACTGCCCATAGATACTTACTGTTCAGAGTTACGTACTGCTCATAGTTACTTAATGTTCATAGAAACTAACTGATCATAGTTAATTAATGGTCATAGTTAATTACTGATCATAGTTCTATAAATCTTCCGATTGTTCATAGTTAGCTATATATATGTGTATATATATAGTCCACCGATTTTCCATGCTCCGACTTATATACTAGTAAATTTTATTGAACTATATCTCCTTACTGTCATTCAAATAGCTTAAATTTGTTCCAAAACAAATCTCGCACTTCTGTGCATATGATTCCCAACTCGTTCTAACAACCCCGGAACGAAGTGACTTCTGCCGGCCGAGTATCAGAAATGTGTTGTTACAAAAGTTGCAAGTCATTGTTTATTAGTGTTCAAAGTTAGTAAGCTCATAGATACTTACTGGTCAAAGATAATTACTGCCCATAGATACTTACTGATCAGAGTTACGTACTGCTCATAGTTACTTAAGTTCATAGAAACTTACTGATCATAGTTAATTAATGGTCATAGTTAATTACTGGTCATAGTTCTATAAATCGTCCGATTGTTCATATGTTAGCTATATATATGTGTATATATTATAGTCCACCGATTTCCATGCTCCGACTTATATACTAGTAAAATTTATTGAACTATATCTCCTTACTGTCATTCAAATAGCTTAAATTTGTTCCAAAACAAATCTCGCACATCTGTGCATATGATTCCCAATCGTTCTAACATCCCGGAACGAAGTGACTTCTGCCGGCCGAGTATCAGAAATGTGTTGTTACAAAAGTTGCAAGTCATTGTTTATTGGTGTTCAAAGTTAGTAACTGCTCATAATACTTACTGGTGAAATATAATTACTGCCCATAGATACTACTGATCAGAGTTACGTACTGCTCATAGTTACTTAAAGTTCATAGAAACTAACTGATCATAGTTAATTAATGGTCATAGTTAATTACTGGTCATAGTTCTATAAATCGTCCGATTGTTCCTATGTTAGCTATATATATGTGTATATATTTATAGTCCACCGATTTGCCATGGTCCGACTCTATACTAGTTAAATTATATTGAAGAATAACTCCATAGTTTCATTCAAATAGCTTAAGTTTGTTCCAAAACAAATCTCGCACATCTGTGCATATGATTCCCAACTAGTTCTAACATCACCGGAACGAAGTGACTTCTGCCGGCCGAGTATCAGAAATGTGTTGTGTTACAAAAGTTGCAAGTCATTGTTTATTAGTGTTCAAAGTTAGTAACTGCTCAAAGATACTTGCTGGTCAAAGATAATTACTGCCCATAGATAGTTACTGTTCAGAGTTACGTACTGCTCATAGTTACTTAAAGTTCATAGAAACTAACTGATCATAGTTAATTAATGGTCATAGTTAATTACTGGTCATAGTTCTATAAATCGTCCGATTGTTCCTATGTTAGCTATATATATATGTGTATATATTTATAGTCCACCGATTTTCCATGCTCCGACTTATATACTAGTAAATTTTATTGAACTATATCTCCTTACTGTCATTCAAATAGCTTAAATTTGTTCCAAAACAAATCTCGCACTTCTGTGCATATGATTCCCAACTCGTTCTAACAACCCCGGAACGAAGTGACTTCTGCCGGCCGAGTATCAGAAATGTGTTGTTACAAAAGTTGCAAGTCATTGTTTATTAGTGTTCAAAGTTAGTAACTGCTCATAAATACTTACTGGTGAAAGATAATTACTGCCCATAGATACTTACTGATCAGAGTTACGTACTGCTCATAGTTACTTAAAGTTCATAGAAACTAACTGATCATAGTTAATTAATGGTCATAGTTAATTACTGATCATAGTTCTATAAATCTTCCGATTGTTCATACGTTAGCTATATATATGTGTATATATATAGTCCACCGATTTTCCATGCTCCGACTTATATACTAGTAAAATTTTATTGAACTATATCTCCTTACTGTCATTCAAATAGCTTAAATTTGTTCCAAACAAATCTCGCACTTCTGTGCATATGATTCCCAACTCGTTCTAACAACCCCGGAACGAAGTGACTTCTGCCGGCCGAGTATCAGAAATGTGTTGTTACAAAAGTTGCAAGTCATTGTTTATTGGTGTTCAAAGTTAGTAACTGCTCATAAATACTTACTGGTGAAAGATAATTACTGCCCATAGATACTTACTGTTCAGAGTTACGTACTGCTCATAGTTACTTAAAGTTCATAGAAACTAACTGATCATAGTTAATTACTGGTCATAGTTCTATAAATCGTCCGATTGTTCCTATGTTAGCTATATATATGTGTATATATTTATAGTCCACCGATTTGCCGTGGTCCGACTCTATACTAGTTAAATTATATTGAAGAATAACTCCATAGTTTCATTCAAATAGCTTCAATTTGTCCAAAACAAATCTCGCACATCTGTGCATATGATTTCCAACTCGTTCTAACATCCCCGAACGAAGTGACTTCTGCCGGCCGAGTATCAGAAATGTGTTGTGTTACAAAAGTTGCAAGTCATTGTTTATTAGTGTTCAAAGTTAGTAACTGCTCATAGATACTTACTGTTCATCGTTAATTACTGCTCATAGGTAAATACTGGTCATAGTTTTTTACTGACCATTATGGTAAAATCTGTTACCTTATCTTTTTTTATGGTGACAGTTAGAACTCAATCATCTAAATTCCTCAACGAAACCATGTATTGTTACTTTTAATTTATTTTCATTCATTACTTTCTCCTGCAATTGTTTCTATTCTGTCTGCCAAGTTGAATACTTCTTCCTGTCTTACCTTATACCATCACCCAGTTTTTACTTTACTTTCCCTGTCACATTTTTCACGTTTTTTCTCAGCAATAATTATTTCTCCATACTGTTTTTAATTTCGTCCCGACTTTCGCCATCTTTTGTTCTCGTTTGGTTGCTTTTCTTCTACTTGTCAGGTTTGGTTGCTTTTGTTACTTTTAATTACAGAAGCAACATTACACAAAAATGTCGCTTCATTTGTGTTGATTTCAGGTTTTTTAACTTTTTCCTGTAGCTGCCACGCCCACATCCCAAGTTCCAAGCCCCCACCGCCTCCACAGTTGTTCACATGTCCCGCGTGTCACGTTAAATGTTAAGTAAACAAAAGGATCTCTCTCCTGTCTCGCACATAAAAACGCTCATTCTGCCCATTTATTTTAGTTTTGTTTCATTTTTATTTGTGCGCCCCGTTGAAATGAAAAGTGGACGTAGCAGGAAAAGCGCCCAAATGTGCTTTCAATAACCAGGTGCCATCCTTCGACTCCTGCCCCACTTTCCATTGCTTTTCCTCCCCCTCCTCTGTTCATTTGACGTTGAAAGGAGCATTGAGTTGAAAAAAGCGAGGAAAACTTTTTCGCTCTTGTGTGGTTGACCGACATTTGCAGTTAAAAGTTAAAAGCTCGCTGAAAAAGCCAAAAAATAAAGAAAAGGGTGGAAAGTTGGGGTTAAAATAAGGTAAAAATAATGCTCACCTGGTGATGCCACATCAACGATCGAGGGGAAAGTATATTTAATGTGCGGTAAAGAGGAAATTATTTAAAAAAGAGTATGGAAAGTAGAGTAATAAATTTTCAACTTTACATTCAATTTACAAAACATGCTTAAATATAAAATAATATTTTTCCATGACTGGTTTACTGCCGTCATCATCATTTTATCCTTAACTAAATCTCTGTTTAGCGGTCAGTCAAAGAGAGAGATATAGACTGTCGGCACAAGTGGCGACCAACAAAAAGATTTTCCGGAGCAAGGTTTCTTTCAAAAAAGTAAAAAAAGTGAATGCAAATAAGCAAATAAACAAACGACAAAAAATTGTACTTTGCCTTTCGCTGGTGATGCAACTGCTGATTATGTTGCCGTTGCTAAACGGACTTTTCCCTCCTTTTTTGCATATCATCATCTGGGGCAAAACTCTTCTCCTGATCCCCAAAACCCAAACCCAAACCCATTTCCATTTTCATTTTCCAACTCCCAACTCCAGCTGCATTGTTTCCCTCTGTGCCGCCATTTTGCCGCACTTGCCGCGTCCTTTTCACACGGACCCTCTGACGCTTTTTCCTTGGCTCATCCGCTTTTCCGTTTTTGCCCTTATATTTTTCTCTATCTCTCAACTGCTTTTTGTCGCCTTTAACGCCGCCTAATTGCCTAATTAGGCATTTGCATTCCAACCCCAAAAAAAAAGCCTCCGCTAAGTCATCTGTCTCTGAGCCATTTCACGCCCACATTGGCGTTGTACTTCGCCTTTTTGCCTCTTTGCCTGTTGCAATTTATTTATAATCCTCTTTTATTTTCCGATTTGCAGGTCCCGAAGATATAATGAAGTTTCTGGGCAACGATAGTGTCGTGGATCACTTCAAGCTTGTGACCAAGGATGGCAACAGTCTGCTCATCGGTGCCAGGTAAGTGTTTGTGATATCCTTTAAATAGGATTATATATTGTAAATATTACAAGAAGATAATATGAGAGTTATAGAGAGCTATAAATATTTAATAGAGTTTATGCGGTTTTTCTTATTGACCAAATAATAATATATATAGTAACAAATTCTGAAGATAACGTATCCTGAAGTTACTATTAGTTTTTTTTTTTTTTTTTTTTTTTTTTTTTTTTTTTTTTTTTAGTCTGCTTTAGAACATTTGTTAAACAAGTTCAAGGGGAAACTACATATTCAAGGAGCTGGAAGGATAAGAAATTGTGACAGCAGACTACTGAAAATTTCACATAAAGCAAACTTCAATTTACTTTTCGCACACATTGTATTTAATTTAAGTAGAAGATACGACCATGTTCACTTCCCAACATATATATATATACATATATCTTTACGTACAAACATGACAAACTTTCCAAGGGCCCAAATATGGGTAGTGTATGTATAAGTGGAAGAATGAAGGTTCCTCTTGCTGCTTCGTTCGTGGCAACTTTGATTTTGCAACGCCCTGGCAAGAGAAACAAAAAAAAAACACACACACAGAGCGAAAGGAAGCGGAAACTTTTGCAGCAGGTGCCCCAAAGATATGAGGAACTGTGCTAAAGTTTCCACCACTACTACTAGTAGTAGAAGTAGTATTTCCTACTTCACAAGGATTCCCGGAAGACTTAAAGGGTTGCCAAGGTTGGGTCTCTGCCGGTTGTCGGTGTTAGTTTTTCGTGAGCGTCGTTGGCGGGTCGGCTTTTCCCGTATTTTGTAAATTTTGTCGTTGGCAGGACCGCAAAAGATGTTTGCTGCAAATGTTGAGTTTATTATATTTCGCCTAGACAATGCCCCAGCAGCCGGAATATATGTGGAGAACCCACATAAACATTCAACCAAAAGCTCTCTCTCGCATCCGTGGAAAGGCGGAGGAGGCATACATATTAAAATGTTGCATACTTCGGGGCAACCAACCGGACTTAATAAACTTGCCAGCCAGCTTCTTCTTTGTCTCTCTGTGTGTGTGGGTGTGCGACAGTATAAGTATGTGGTGTCCTCGAAATTTGTGTGACCAAGGAATGCGTGCAACTTGTAATACAAGACATCAGCACATGGAACCCAAGCCCTGGCTGAGGGAACAGGAACAATGCGAGCGAAAGCCACAACAATTCCAAGTGAAAATAAATGAAAATAATATCTTATATAAACTGAATTGAGAAGAGGTTTTTTTTGTGTTACGAAATATATATTATTGAAATGATTTAAAAAGTCTAGAAAGAGTGACAGATAGATGTAACATTTTAAGGCTTCTTTTTTAATATTGTAAGGTGTTTTAACATTTCATTTACTTCAGGAGAATTTCCAAATTAAGTTAAATTCTTATTAAAAAGTGAAAGGTCTTAACAAAAATGCAGTTAACATTATACAGTATACTTTATACCAATATTTCAGCGATTTAAACTTATCAACGTTCTCCAGATACTAAGGTTATTATCAAACCAGAAGGTTTTTAAGCAATATTACTCATACGCAGTGTTGTCACTTCTCAGTAAGCATTACGTTTCCTTGAAGAAATTTGTTATTGATAATTTAAAGATTAATAGAATCCTCATTTCAAGTTTTTATATATTTTTATTTAATATTTGTACGTTTATTTTTATTTAAAAATAATATTACTCATACGCAGTGTTGCCACTTTTCAGTATATATTTTTCTTTGACTTTTTGAATAAGATCATAATAATATTTTAACTTAATGCAAGAAAAGAAACTAACTAACGTTCATGACTAAGTTTAAAATATTCGCATTCCTTGGATTAATATTTATCGATATATATATATATATTGATATTTATTATTGATATTTATAACTAACCCAAAAACTAACTAGTCATCCTTACAATCTTCTGATTAAAATTACAATACCCTGCAAGGGAATAAATACAAAATGTATAAGGAATTGCATAACTTTAATTAATAATTAATTTCCACAGACCAGAAATAAGTCCAAATATTTTCAATAAATTAATTTGCTCGTCAACCTTGAAAGCCATTTCCGTTTAGAGCGTTTCACAATGCCTGGATAATGAGGCAGTAAAATGCAAAAGCATATCTAAAGCAGGAAAATTAGGGGAACCACACACACACACACACTTGCACTCGTCCAGGCAACGACTAGAGGTGGAGGGAGGGGTGTCCATGGAAGCTTTTCAGCTTTCCTTTTTTTTCGCACGCATGAACGAATTTGTATGCCGGCAATGTCGCTGCCAGAGTTGCCACTTACGTGATTAATGGATTTTTAACAAGTTGCACACACACACACACATTGGGATGCGGGAATTCACACACGCACATAACCACTTATCAGACCCCAAAAAGAGTCAAAGTAACCGAAGGAAAACCTTTACCGTTGGCGACTGTTGTTGAAGCCCCCAAAGTGCCACGTGTGCTTAAGTGTGTATATGAGTGTGTGTGTGTGTGTGTGTGTACCCCCTTCCCCCTCTAAACTAGGATGACAGGCGGAAATGCGAATGTGACACGCGTTTTGCATGTGAAACGTCATGAACAATGTGGAACAACAGCAGCAACAGCAGCAGGAGAAAAAAAGAAGTGTAGGGGAAAATGGTAAGGGAAAGTTCTACAACAGAATTGCACCTTTGGCTCACCTGTTCCCCCCCCCCATTCCTCCTTTTGACATAGCTGTACCGTTACATTTACTGTGGCACAGCAGGTACCGTGTTACGTGTCCCGCACCCGAAGACGAAGGCCATGTCAAGAAGAATTCTTTAACCAGCCGCAAAAAAAAGGGGGCTTTCCCCTTGAAATTGGCTAAAAATTTAGCTTTTCATGAGAGGGAATTTGTTGTATAATTTAACATTGTAATTGGAGTTAATTTTGCGGGTTACTAAATCGATTAAAATCAGCTGTTGTATACTAGCAATTGATCTAGACATAGTTAAATCATTAATTTGTATATATTTCATATATAATATTAATCTAGCAAAACCATATTTCCTCTGTAAGAAAGCAATTGTTAATTATTTCCTGATTCTTTTCCAAAGGAGTTATCGATACAAATCTATTGATGTTCCAACAAAATACCGCCTACTTTGCCTTGCAAATTCCTGCTTAGATTTTAAGCTTATTACACTTCTTACCTTTAACATTACTTTTTGTATTCCACTATGTCACTTATGCAAATTAGCTGGAAATTGTTGTCTAAACGAGGACGACACCTTCCCTTCTTCCTTTTAGCCTGTTGTAATGGAAATTCCCTTTGGCAAATCGCTGGCTCTTAACTAGCGGAAAATGTTCTTGCCTAGGATCTTAATATATATAGTATATATATATATATATATATCAGTTCCCTGCCTGCAATGCGCTCGACATGAAAATTGGGTTAACACATTAAGATGGAAAATATGTGGCAACGATTTTCCCTGCTGTCAGTGGCACATTCCATGCCATGCCATGCTCATGGCATACCCGATACCCCCAATTCCTCTATATATACCCATCCCATTCTGTTTCATTTCCGTTCCTTTCCCGTTCCATTCCCGCCATATCAGGTTGGCAGGCAATCGAATAAATCGCGACAAAGGCGGAAATAAAATTGCTAAACGAACAAAGGAAAAAACCATTTCGTTGCCTAACGGAGCTTGATTCATATGCTTTCTCTTTCTCCTACATTCTCTGTCTCTATCTGCAGCTCTTTCACTGTTTTTCCATCTCATTCTGGTTTGGAGTGTCTTATGTCGGCCTATCTCTTGGCTTTTAACGTCTTTTTCAACCAATTGAACAGTGGTTAGAATTCCAACTATTTAGTTTGTTTTAGTTTGCATAACTCAAATTTAGTAGCTCTGTAGGGGAAAAAGAAGTGAGATTCGGTTACCAGAGATCTTAATTTTCTAAAGAAATAAAGTTCTTTTAAATTTTCCACTTAAAACCCACCATAGAGGCTCCACTGTAATATTCCAATTTTTGTATGCATTTTCCTTTTTTTGGGGCGATGTCCATCTTTTATTTCATTTCGTCCTTGTTCTTCTGTAGAGAATGGTATGTGTGGTGTTGTGGTGTGTGTGCTGAGCCTTTGTGCAACCGCACAACAATCATTTTTGCACCGCAAATTCATTTCCGTTTGTGCTGGTTTTTGTGTTTTTTCTCCGCTTGATATCTGCGTGTGCCGCTTGCCTCTGTATGAATGCAGAAAACGCATCCGCTAATTTCCAGCGATTTAAGCCCACTTTTGTATTGCCAATTCCAACAGGCCTTAGGCATAAATGGCTTAAAAGATTTCAATTGAATTGAATGGGCATTGTTTTAGGATTTGGTATTGGTTACTTCTCAGGGATAGGTGGAGGCAAATGACTGCAGGTGTTTTATTTAATGGAAGAAGCTTTCAGAGTTATCTTAGGCTTTATTAGCTTCTTAATTAGATAATCCAGTATCCAGATAAATCCAGATAAATCCTGTCTCCTGCTTTAATTTAACCAATTAGTAATGTCAAGGCTATGCCACAGGTTAATACAAGACACTAGAACTTCACCCTGCAGCCAGTTAATATTTGCCTCAAGCTCCATAAAGAGTATCCAATATCGGCCAATATATGTATGTGGCCTAATCGAGAATATTCCAATAACACAACCGCTCAATGGCCAAGTCCAATTCGCTTTGTCATGTTTGGCCTATGGCGTTCTGCAACTGACTTGGCCTGAGGGGGATAAAGGTCAAAAGCAGCCACCTGGTCAACTGTTCTGATTGGTTTGGGGGCGGGACATTGGCCCCCCCCCAGGTTTGTGTTGCATGCAACGACCGAATCGAACCGGAGTTGTGGGTCACCAGCAGCAACAGCAACAGCAGCACTGAGCTCTTGGGCAATCCACATTTGGGTTTTTCGGCATTTGACAGTTTCGACGTTTTCTGCCTCCATTGAGTGAGTGGCACAGGACGAAATGGTCCTGGATTGAGGTACGCTTTGACAGGGCT